CTCCTAATGAGATTACGAGAAGGTTGATCTAATCTGCAGATAAGATAAGGGTTTATCCTTATCACCTAAAGGGATGTTTGATCCAAATATGATTTGGATCAGCAACTCCTAATGGGATTAGAAGCTGATCCTTTAAGGTTACAAAAGAAGGAAGGGGCGGCAGCTTTTAGATTATCACAAGATCATCAGATCACTGCAAGTCTTTAGAGTTGAAATCACAGAAGAGAGAATTCAGCATACCTGCGAAAATACTCTCTTGCCGCCTCCTTCCTGCCGCTGCCTCACCTGCCAGTTTGACCTCCTCTTCAGTGAGAGAAATCAAGATTCGATGTTGATATCAGTTCCTTGTGAAGGGACTGATAGAAAGTTGTGCTCACGTGCCATCCTGCTATTTCTTGCGATGGAATAGGTTCTTGGAGAAGAACACTACTGATTCTGCTCCATCCTACACTGCGCCATCTTCAGTGGGAGCAGTCTTTGGATCCTTCCTTGGGCATGAACACCTTCGTTGGGAGATACTATTTCTCCGTATCAGGTATAATCCTCTCCTACTACTTTTGTTCAGATCTGGTTCAGTTTATGGTTCAAGATTGATCCTTGAAAATATGATTTTCTAAATAGGGAATGCGATTCCCAATTAAAGGGAGAGAATTTTTTTTTTTTTGAAATTTGCCCACCTTATTCCACAAGATTTGGGCATCCATACGATGGAGCTCTCATCCCTTCATTAACATATTTTAGTCTTCTAATCATACCCATCTCTCTCTCTCTCTCTCTCACTCACTCACTCACTCTCTCCCTCAAATCAATACTTGGACCTGAAATGGGACACGATTGTACATAGGGTCGAGGTGGTCAGTACAACCAGTCAATTTGTCCTTATGTTTAGCTTTTATAGGTAGTCTCCATGATGAGAATTGTGTAATGGTATATTTACAGATACCACATGTATACCATTTATACTATTGTTTTTCATCTGTCATTTTCTCCTTATTCTCCTTAATAAAACCTACAATATCTTAATATTCAATCAAAAGTAAACCACAAAATAGGCAGAAAGAGTTAGCAATACTCAAAAGACTAAGAAAGTAGGGGAGCCTAAATATTTTATAAAATTTTCCTTGGCTATGGGGCCTACTTTGATCCTTCTCCACCTTTTCATGGATACCATCAAGCAAGGAAATGAAAAATTCATGGGTATCTTGTTGTTCATAACTTGCTAGATTTGTTGCATGTTTCCACCAACTGCAAGAAACCACAATTTTCAACAATAAAAAAACTGCTACTTGAGACTCTTGCCAAAGGTCCATAAGCTTTGTTGTTCAGAAGAAACCAGTTCAATAGTTCAGCCTGTAGGATTATAATGTCACAATTGGCTTCTTTAGTAATTAAATGAAGCTTTCTAAGAAAACTAGCAGTTCAGCCTCCTTCGTCCAAAAATGTATTCTACATATGCAAGATACCAACATTGCTACTCACATTTCATAAAAAAATGGGACACATTTAGATCAAACTTGATTACTTGGGAATTGGAATGGTAGTGGAAGTGGCTTTTGTCAAATTATTGTGAAGAGGATAGGAGGTTCTAATGATGGTGAATGAACATAGAAGCAAAAAAAAAAAACACTTTGTAGGAAATTGCTACTTTTTATGAAACATGGGAGGTTCTTAGAAAGCCCTCCATTTCAACTAATGTTATGCATTTGTATTCTTAATAATATAAAAGATTTTTATTAAAAATATAGAAAAAATGAGATACCCTTCCTCTTCATCCTCCTCCTCCTAACCCCCCTCCTCTTAAGGAGGCTTATGCCTCCTTGTGTTCGGGAGGTTTACACCTCTTGCGTTCTGAACTACGCCTCACACCTCTAGGTAGTGGAATCCCTCGCGTCACACCTCTGCATTTTAAAATATTGGATGTAACAACATAGACTAAGGAATCAATCTTAGATTCTCCTCACTATCACTTGACAACATTCTCTGTCTCTTGCAGATTTCCCTTTGAGAAACCTCACTGTGCAGGATAAGTTATATCATTGTATTCCAACCCATCAAAAGTTTTGTAACCCAAATTAACAAGTAGAATCTACAAAGTAACATCAGTATATAAAATATGTATCCCAGAGATAAATCAATGTATGTGTAGTATTGAAGAATGGTTTACAAACATACCAAATATACTTTTCATCAAAATAGTCAGAGAACTAGTAATATAATGTTTCAGGACTGAACTCTTGAAGCCTATATAACTTCATATATTGTTATTGAAAAATTCATTGATATTAATTAAAGAAACTAGAACATCAATCCACTATACTTTGAGAAAGCCAAATTAAAATCCACTTCCATCATTTCTACTTGTTTTTGTTGGAGATTTTGAAGTTATTTGTAGGCCTTTGCATCTTGGGCCAGCGAGTTTGTTGTATTGGAGTAGATGCTGTTGAAGGAGTTCATGTGCAAACCCAACAAGCCACCTTTGCAAGGTTTCTCAAGAATGTTGTTGTGTAGTTTCTTATAGGGAAGAAGGCTTCAATAAGATCTGTTAGATCCAACTGAGGCTGGGAAATGGCTCCACCAAACCAGTCTTCGCATAAGATGAAATTAACAATAAATTCAGTCAATAAAAGTACTAAAAATGTGGAAGACATTATCTAGACAACGTAGATAATGAAGCCTTGGCCGTGAGTGGATAGGGAAGTTATTCTGGAAAGATCCCTTCCCCTGTTTCAATCATCGCCACTTGCAGCCTCGGATCTAAACACAGCGGGTGGAGCGACACTCTTAACACACAATAGCAACGACAACTAGGCAGGAGCGGTGGCATCACCAATATCTACTTCGACAGATTGCCCTATCTCATAGTTGTCCATCTCTAACTCATCAACTATGGAGGAGAGAAACAACACTAAACTCGAATGGTTGTAGCAAGGTATCAAAACTGGATTCAATGTGTCTTTTAAGTGTTAGAATACGACCATTATCCGTAAGCTCTTGTTGCTGAATCTATTAATGGGGAGATCCGATCTTGGAACAGTACATCAACGAAACACGTTGAGAAAAACTTAAAAGAAAAGAGCAGAAATCGAACTACCAGGAAGAAGGATTCTTCACTAAATAATTAAGAGAAAATTCAATCAAAAAATTGTCTTAGCCTTCTCCTAGCTACTCTTTATATAAGCATACATCCTTATGGCTCCTATAAGAAAGTTTTCTAATCTATGAAAACACTCCATAATAGAATCCTACTAAAACTCCTCAAAAAAGAAAGTCTTAATTGAGCAATCCTAATATAAGAAAACACTCCATAATAGAATCCTACCAAAACTCTTCAAAAAGAAAGTCCTAATTGAATACAAATTCGAAATCTCGCTATAACACTAACTTGGTAATTGCGAACTAAGATAGAAACTTTGTGATGGCACCAACTTGGTAAAAATGAACTAAGATAAAAATTCTGTGATGATGCTATATCGGTAAATATTTACTAAGTTGGGTCGGTGGCACCATCTCTACTTCTTATGTGTCTTGGAATGGTCCCAACTTGCATAGAACTTATTAGCTTCATTTTGTGCTGCATCATCCTCTCCTTATATGTACTAAGATGGGTTTTCGAAAACCAACTTTGTAAATGTTTACTCAATTGGTCCGAATCCCATATTGCATCATCCTCCCCAGGTTGAAGAGAATCCATCATCAGATTCATGCTATCATGTGAGAGTCCTCCAACATTACGTATTGTGCTTCGTTTGTGCTTCTATGTTTCCAACTTTCTAATAGACAATTGGTGGTGTAACCCTCCAATACAAATTGGAATGTCTTCATTGCATTTCTTAACTTTTGAAACACAATTAATTGTTGATTTTCAAATAATTTAGTTCTCCCTTTATTGACCATTTTAAACTTTGCAAAAATGATTGCTAATATGGATCCTCATAGACTTGTATGAAGACAATGCTATCAAACCCTCTGGAATGATAAATATTGTCTCAATCTTCTTAAAAATCATGATAAAGGATAACATGCATTAGGGTTAGACGTTAGACTTGGGTCCTCAGGTTAGTCAATCAACCATTCAACCCACAATGAAATTTGACATAAATATACATGTAACTATGTATTTATACATACATACATACATGCAAATACATGTCTCTATATATATGTGTATATATATATATATATATATATATATATATATATATATATATATGTAATTGGGTTAGGTTCAGGCTAATCAAGGGCTAGGCTCTATCCAATCTAAAAAACCCAAACTTTTAGACTTAGGCCTAACATGAGGACTGAAAATCTAAGCCCATGCCAGGTTAAAATTATAAATTGGGTTGGTCTGGACTTAGATTGAGCACACCCAAGTTGCATCCCTAATATCTATGCATTCCCAAAATGCATTTCGATACACTTTATTTTTTCTGCAGTCATCATTATACATCTTTTAAAATCGCATCCTTAATACTTGGGCTTTGGATACTTAGAAATCTTGGCTTCACGTGGAGATGACCATCCCAAAATTTTAGTCCAATATTTTCCTCACTCTAGCGCGGTCCATACCATGCTTGAATACATAACCTAGGCCCAAGCCCGAAATATTCGAAGCGGGCCAGGCCGGGCCGAAAATGATCATCCCTGTCGGGTTCCTCTGGTCTGGTCCACTTTTCTTGCACGTGCAAATACACACCCCGCTTCAGTGGCTTTCTTGCGTGCAGCGCAGAGGAAAATAAACAAAACGGACTCGGAGTCTCGAACTGGTTCTTCATCTACGATTCACGTGCCTGTGCCTCTGTATTCGTATCGCGGATAACTTCTACGCTTCACAGACTAGTCCTTCATTTCTCCAGTTCTCCTCCTCTCCCTCGCAAGTTATTTGATCATCTGATCCTTCAATCTCTTTGTTTTCTCGTCAGCAGATTCTAATCGCGTATATCATCGGATGTTCGAATAACGATATCAGTCGTCTTTGTTTTTTCTTCGTTTTAATGATAACAATTAATTAGGTTTCATCCGTTAATGACGAATTCCAAGTCCTCTGACGAAGATTCTGTTCTTGCAAATTCAAGAAAGGGTTTCTTTTCAAAAATCAATCTCCAAAGCTTATCTGGTAAGTATAACTCAAACACCCTTTGAATTCTCATAAACGGATATCCAATTTCTTTTCTTTTCCTTTTGCAAAGTAAGTTATGAGTTTGTCCGATTTGGAAAATGGTTTCTTCCCTGAGGAAGTGGTTCTTCAAATCCTTGCTAGATTGCCAATCAAATCCCTATTTAGATGCAAATCCGTTTGTAAGCTTTGGTATAGATTACCTTCTAACAAGTATTTCATTCAACTCTATAACGAAGTATCATCTAAGAATCCAATGGTCTTAGTTGAGCTCATAAAATCCTTTTATGTCAAATCCAGTTTTATCTGTGTAGACAGACTCAGAGGTGTTTCTGAGTTCTCTCTGGATTTCTTGAATGATAGAGTGAAAGTCAGAGCTTCTTGTAATGGCTTGCTATGTTGTGCTAGCGTGCCAAACAAGGGTGTTTATTATGTTTGTAATCCACTGACCCGGGAATTCAAGTTGCTACCCAGGACTAGAGAAAGGCCGATGACTCGATTTCATCCTGATGATGAGGCTACCCTTGTTGGATTAGCGTTCAATGTATCTAATCAGAAATTTAATGTTGTTTTAGCGGGGTTTTACCGGCCATTTGGACATAGGCCACTTGATTCTTTCGTTTGCGTGGTTTTTGATTCGGAAACCAATACTTGGAGGAAGTCTATCTCGTCTCGAAGCGATGAATTTACACATATGAACAGGAATCAAGTTGTGTTCGCCAATGGGTCATTGCACTGGTTGACATACAGTTGTTTGTATATCCTTGTGTTTGATTTGGATAATGAGGTTTGGAGGAAGATTTCACTGCCAGGTGAGGTAATTGCTCGGTCTGGAAACAGGGTTCATTTGTTGGAGTTGGATGGATCTGTGTCCATAATTCAGATTTCAGAGGCTTGGATGAATATATGGGCGTTGAAGAATTATGAAAGAGAGGAATGGTGTACAGTGGACAAAGTGAGCCTTAGGTGTATTAGAGGACTTGTCCCAAGTGTTTTCCCCATAAGTCAGACTAGCGAATTTGTGTTCTTAGCAACCCAAAGACAGATCTTGGTGTACCATCGGAATAGTCGAGTTTGGAAGGAGATGTATTCTGTGAAGAACACTTTCTCCTACCCTTTGTGGTTCTCTGCACATGCTTTTCGAAGCACACTTTTCTCTTGTCATCAAGGCCTGGATTATTCTTGAGAAGTTTGTTTTAGCTTTGTTTGGAAGACATTGTAAATAGCTTTTGTGACCAATACTGTAAATTTCAATATTTATGCTTCTTGATCTTTTCCACTAATGTTTATGAGGTTTATGACCTTTTGATATTTACCTTTTTTCTTGGATCTTTTCTTTGATAATGATAACCAAACACTACAATTTAAAGTATTCACTTCTGTACATTTATTTGTCTTGACCCCGAGGATCTTGTTTTCTGATTGTTTACATACTCATGGAATAGGTTGGGGGGGGTGTGGAGGGATGGAGGGACTGGGATGGTGTAGAACTAGTAAAAAACTACTTAGGAGTAGAAATCCTTAATTGTTTGGGTAACACTTCGGCTGTTTAACTGCATATGATTATGTATGTCTCAATGTTGGTTGGTTGAACCTTGCCATCTTTTGGATCTACCATATAAAATGTTGTGTTGAAGGTATGCCCTATTTGATTAATTTAGTTATATAATTTCTTGACTCTGTTTATCAATATCATTGGTATTCAGTATTCTTACTGCTTTAGAGAATGATAGTACAAGTGGTTATTGAGTTCTCTTTTTTCTTACTGCATTAGAACACAAGCTCTCCCCTCCCTCTTCATTCACTTGCATGTGCTCCTTTATACTGCTTTTTGGTTTTAGATTTTCCGTTAATCTACTTGATGGTTCCCTACATTTTCCATAGGAAGTTGATGGGGTCCCATGATTGATTCTTTTTGAGTTTTTTTCCTTCTTGGTTTAGTTTAATTGTTTCAATACCTTCATTGTATTTGCTTATTTTCATTTGAGATCACCCTTTGCTTATTGAGGTAAAAATGAAGCATTGGTCCATATTTTCTCTCTTTACATTGTTACATGTATGTTATTTCCTTTTCAATCAGCAAAAGCTCAGAATTTATTAATTTTTGGTAGAAGTCAAGATGATTGTTAGTTGTACACAAGGTTCAAAATAGCAATATACCCTGGTGCAGTGGATAGGGTGTATCAGTACTTTGAAGTTTGAACCTAACGTTAACCTTTCTTCTTAGATATATTTTAGTAGTCGTACAAGACTACAGATTTGAACAGTAAATAAAAGAAAATTAGAAGAGAAGAGAAGAGAAGAAGAAGAGAGATGGAGAAGAGGAACTCACAGAAGGGTTTTAGGAGAAGAGAATGGTTGGTTGTCTTAAAACAGCCGCCCCACCCTTTGAATTTATATGCATAGTTTCCTAATTGTAAAAGAACTTTAATGCTTACATGGCAAGATAAGATAATTAAAAACTAATCTTAGATAAGATAGAATAGGATTAAAACTAATCCTACTAGGAAAGCTGATCTTAATCAGTGACTTAATTAAATCTAAGTACAACTTAGGCTGTCACACGAGTACACTAATGTGGGGCCCACACTTTCCTACATTCCCCTCAAGTTGGAAGTAGATGTTTGTCATTCCCAACTTGTATAGGTCTTCTAACTTCTTTCTTGAAACAGCCTTGGTGAGAAGGTCTGCAAGTTGCATGTCAGAGGTGATGTAGGGGAGGCATACTTTTTGAGATGTAACCCTTTCTCTAATAAAATGCCGGTCCACTTCAATATGCTTAGTGTTGTCATGCTATACTGGATTATGCACTATATTAATGGCAGCCTGGTTATCACAGTACAACATTAGGGGTTTCTCATAAGTAATACCCAATTCCTCAAGTAATGATCTTAACCATAGAATCTCAGCCACACCATTTTCCATGGATCTATATTCAGCTTCAGCACTGGAACGTGAGACAACACTTTGTTTCTTACTCTTCCAGGAGACCAGATTACCCCTTACAAAGGCACAATATCCAGAGGTAGATTTTCGATCATCAACACACCCAGCCCAATCAGCATCTGTATAGACTTCTATCTTCATGTGGTCATTTTTCTAGAACAAAATGCCTCTGCCTGGGGATCTCTTCAAATATGCTAATATCCTCTCAACTGCAAGGAGATGAGTAGTTCTGGGAGAGTGCATATATTGACTTATTACACTGACTGCATAACTGATGTTAGGTCGTGTGAGGCAAAGATAGAGAAGTTTTCCAACTAACCGTTGGAACATAGCTTTATCTTCAAGAGGTTCTCCACCCTCTGCACTAATCCTGTGGTTCTGTTCAATAGGTGTGTGTCCATAGGCTTAACTCTCAACTTTCTTGTTTCTTCTAGCAGATCAAGGACATACTTTCATTAAGAGACAAAAATCCCATGCTTGGATCTAGCTACCTCAATGCCCAAGAAGTATCGTGGTTCCCCTAGATCTTTCACCTTAAACTCTTGATGAAGAAGTTGCTTAAGAGACTCAATTTCACCAGTATCACTCCCTGTTACTACAATATCGTCCACATACATAGCAAGCAAAGTTACGGAAGAATCCACTCTCTTAATAAACAAGGTGTGGTCTGACTGGGCCTGCACATATCCGAACCTATCAAGGTCTCGTCTGAATTTGTCAAACCAAGCTCTGGGGGACTGTTTTAGTCCATATAAAGCTTGTTCAACCAGCAAACCTTTTTTTTTGTCTCTGTACCATAAAATCCAGGAGGCAACTGCATGTAAACTTCTTCCTGCAAGTCTCCATTGAGAAAAGGCGTTTTTAACATCCATTTGATACAACGACCAGGAGTAACTGGTTCAAGAGATAATAGGACTCTGATAGTGGTCATCTTTGCTACTGGTACAAAAGTTTCTAAGTAGTCAATACCATATGTCTGAGTAAATCTTTTTGCAACTAACCGGGCCTTAGACCTTTCAACAGAACCATCAGCATTATGTTTCACAGTGAATACCCATCTACATCCAACCGGTTTCTTACCTTTAGGCTGATCAACTATCTCCCAAGTATTGTTTCTGATGAGGGCATCCATCTCTGTTTTTATTGCATCTTTCTATTCTGGTACTTCCAATGCTTCTTGTATTGTTCTGGGAATGGGAATATCAGCAATGGATGCGAGAAAAGACTTATAGGAGGGAGACAAATGATCATAGGACAAGAACTGAGAAATGTTGTGAGCTGTGGATGTGGTACAATGACGCTTGCCCTTACRAACTGCTATGGGAAGATCAAGATCATCTAATGAAGGTGAAGGCTCCATGGTGGGATGTCTCTCATCTGTAGTATCTATGGTACCTGGATCTGGATCTGCAAAAGGATTTGGGGCTACTATGGTATTGGGATCTGGATCTGCAGAGGAAACTAGGACTGGCCTGCACTACTGATGTCCGAAATCAACTTGTCTCCATTATCTGTGATAGACTCTCACATCCCTGCACCTTTGACAACCTTCCCCATTACACCCTTCTTCACTTAATGGGATTGGTAAAGGAACTTCTGATGAGCTGCTCCCAGCCTCACTATTCTCTCCCTGAGGAGAAACCCTTGGATAATAGGGTTTATCCTCAAAGAAGGTGACATCCATTAAAACAAATAATTTTCCACAAGTGGGTTCATAACAACAATATCCCTTTTGATTTTGGGCATAACCAAGGAAAATACATTTGGAGGCCTTAGGATCAAATTTGGAATGATGGGGGCCAAGGATTTGAACGAAGCAAGTGCACCCAATGGTTTTGAGTGGAATGGCAAACAATTCTTTATCAGGGTATAAAAGGATAAATGGAGGTTTCATATCAAGAACCCGTTCGGGAATCCGATTGATGAGATAAATTGCTGTAAGAACAACATCCCCCCAGAAACGTATAAGCACATTTGAGGTAAACATAATGCCTCTGGCTACCTCTAATATGTGTCTATTCTTTCTTTCAGTAACCCCATTCTGTTGTGGTGTATGTGGGCAGGTACTCTGATGGACAACCCCATGTTCAAGCATGTAGGAGGCCAATGGGTTTGCAAAATATTCTTTTGCATTATCAGATCTAAAAATTTTAATTTTAACCCCAAGTTGGGTTAAAATCATTTGATGAAAGATCTAGGTTAATGCAGGAACCTCATCTCGAGAACGCAGATGAACCCAAGAAAACCGAGTATAATCATCAACAAATAATAGAAAATATCTGTACCCTTCCATGGCTGAGGTATGATAGGGTCCCCAAACATCAATATGCACAATTTCAAAAGGAATATTGCTTCTGCTATTACTTAATGAATAAGTTGTCCTGCAATGTTTTGCAAGCTCACAACTTTCACACTTCAAACTATACATCTGAATAGATTCAAATAAACTAGGAAATAAACTCTTCAAGGTCTGAAAGGATAAATGACCCAGCCTATTATGCCAAAGCATCACCTAATCAACAGACTGAGAAACAAAGGATTTCTTAGTTTCACTATCTTCCTGATGAGCACTTCCTCCAAGTAGGTAGATTCCATTTGTCTCACGGCCAGTCCCAATCACCTTCCTTGTCTCTAGATTCTGAAAAACACATCTATCTAGAAAAAAGGTTACTGGACAATTCTGTTTTTTTTTGTAATGCTACTAACTGAGAGCAAGTTAGTATTAAACTTAGGAACATGCAAGACGGAGGATATGGAAAAGGCATCAGACAACTTGATGTCTCCTTTGCTAGAAATAGGAACAAGGGATCCATCAGCAATGGACACTTTGTCTTTACTAGAAGATAAATGATAGGTAGAGAAAAGTGATGGAAAACCAGTCATACGATCAGATGCTCTTGAATCTATTATCCAAGAATGTTTTGCATTACCTGGATACCTTGTAGGGCTGCGAGGATCTCAGCTCTAAGAGAGTCTCCTTCCCCAATTAGGCCTGAGAACATAGCAATAATAGCCCCCGTCTCATTTCTGAATACTCCCCCAATCCCAGAAGACCCTGTGTTCCTTATACAGCTACCATCAAAATTCAATTTTATGAACCCAGAAGGAGGAGGGGACCACAAAGGACTACAGGTCCTCTTACAGAGGGCAGAGGAGGCTATCTCCTTCCAATTTCTCACCACATCAGCCACAGAATAATCTGAGAACAATTCCATAGTTTTCAACCAATGTGCCACCCTTAACAGGATTAGATCTAATAAGTTTCCAATGGTTCTTTTCTTATCTGAAAATATTCGTGAGTTTCTTTCTTCCCATAGAGACCAACACACTACAGCCCTAATGCTTCTCCACATAGTCTTCCCTCTCTTCTTCGGCCATCTGAAAAAAGATGGAGAGAACAAGCTTTGGACACTCCCAGGGGAAATCCAAACACACCCA